TTAATTCTAAGCTATGTGTATTGATCACCTGGGCTTTTCCCTTTATGCTTTAAGTTTAAGAGGAGGACAAAGATAGGAAACTCCATTGCTTGATGCCATGTGAAAACGCATAAAGTTCGAGTGTTTATGTCCTCCAAATTCAACCAAATTCGAGTTACGTAATCATGATGTCATGGCAAAGTTTATGGTTTGTCAATTTTTGGGGCCCAAACCTCATGATATTTCTTGAAGCTGCAGGAATCTCTATGCGCATAGAGAAAATTGGATTGATTAAATTTGGGTCAGCATTAATCCCAATGCAAATCAAATCTTGGATGAAAAACCGTGTAGTCAAGGATGTGTGTCCCATACATGTAATACTTTATCGAGATCTTGCAAGCTCACATAGGCGACGCAGTCAATTGTTCATCGTATGATTCTTATTGTGCAGTTGATTTGAACGAAAATTCATGCTAATTATCCATATCCATCAACCAAGGATCTAGGCTATATTCGTTTTATTTCAAAAGGTAAACCATCATCGGTCATGCCAAAACTATAGGCATAAACTTCACTGAGATTAATTAAACCAAAGTTCCTAAGGCTTTGTGGGGTTATGGAACTTGCAGGAGTTGCCGGAACACCAACGAGGAGACGCTGTAAGTTCCATGGTGTACGAGGCAAATGCCCGGGTGAGGGACCCAGTGTACGGTTGTGTTGGAGCTATATCATCACTGCAGCAACAGATCGACGTTCTTCAAGCCCAGTTGGCACTTGCACAAGCTGAAGTGGTGCACATGAGAATGCGCCAATTCTCGTCCACAGCCACCAACTCGCCGGAAAACGCCTCACCCTCATCCAAGCACATAACACAGTCTCAGACCAGGTCCCTTTTTACCATGGACATGGAGGCCAATCTTGGGGAGTCCTTGTGGTCATGCTAGGCTACACTAGCCTGCCTTCTCTTTTCTAATATTACTATCATGGGTTTTCTTTATTGTCTGCCTCTTTTTTGCTTTCTTGCTTCTTTATCTTTCATACTTCTTTATAGCCACATCGATCACTACCTGACCCAGCAGGGATGATGATGACAGTCATTAACCATATTGTACATGTCTAAATATATGATTATGAGTTATGATGATATATAGAGTTTTGTATGTCTAAATAGATGATTATTGTTGGGAATTAGAAGCAAAAAAAAAAAACTACTAAAGAGCACAAAAATAGAGGATGAAAAACTGCTCCACTTCCACACTAATTTCACTCAAGAAACATCTCTATATTTCATCAAATATGATCACAATATCAAGGAATACATGGGGAGCAACTTATCAGAATTTTTTAGCAGTAAACACTCAAGAAAATACAAAGAAATAGAGCTTCTGCTCATGAACAAGCTGCTGTTTTTTTCAGATAGCAAACACACTGTTTTTCTCACTTTTTCCTCTCTATTTTTCTGCACAGAGACTCTCTATTTTGGGCAGTAACTCCGGCCCCTTTTATACTGATTTTTCCTAGCCAAAACACTCTAAATTTGGCCACTTTATGGCTGGCTACCCCAAGAAAAAACTGTTCAACTTTCCATGCAACCATACATGAATAAGTCTCCCAAATACATGAATAGACTTCTCAAAAATATTCTGGACACTTCTGGTATATATCACTTCAAATACCATGACTTTTCAATACCCAAAAATACCCCTTAAAAAATAGAGTTTATAAAACTAACATCCCCCCTTAAACTCAATTCCTTGAGTTCTCATGCCTAGCATCATTTTCAATTTTCTAAACACATCATGCTTCAATGGCTTTGTAAAAATGTCGGCAACTTGATCTTGAGTCTTGCAATGTACCAAGTTCACTTCTTCATTTTTCACATGCTCTCTAATAAAATGGTAGCGCGTATCAATGTGTTTACTCATTTCATGAAACACCGGATTCTTTGCCAACGCCATTGCCGATCTATTATCAACAAGGATCTCTGTGGGAATTTCTTGAGAAAATCCCAAATAATTCAACAAGTTCCTCAACCAAATAGCATGACAAACTGTTGAATTTGCAGCCACATACTCCGCTTCACATGTAGACAAAGTAACAATTGTTTGCTTCTTGGATGACCAAGTAAAAGCCGTATCTCCCATGAAAAAACAATAACCCGAGGTACTTTTCCTTTCATCCAAATCTCGTCCCCAATCACTATCTGAATATCCAACAAGTCTAAAATCATTAGTGTAAGAATAAAATAAGCCATCATTGAGTGTACCTCTAATATAACGTAGAATCCTCTTTGCTGCATTAAGATGAGTTTGATCCGGTGTTTCCATGTATCTACTAACTAAGCCAACTCCATAAAGAATATCTGGCCTCGTGCAAGTAAGATACCGAAGACTTCCAACTAAACTTTTGAAGTAAGTTGGATCAACATTTTCACCACTAATTCTCTTCCTCAATTCCAATCCAACTTCAACGGGCGTGTTCACCGGGTTGCAAGAATCCATCTTGAACTTCTTGAGCACTTCCTTTGCATAACCACTTTGAGAAATAAAAATTCCATCTTCTCTTTGCTTTACCTCAATGCCAAGGAAATGAGACATTAAGCCAATATCAGTCATTTCAAACTCCTTAATCATACTTCTCTTGAATTCATCAAAAATCATTGGATCATTGCCAGTGAAGATCAAGTCATCAACATAAAGACAAACAAGTAACACACTTCCATTCCCATCCATCTTCATGTATAATGCATGCTCATAAGGACACTTTTGAAAAACATTCTCATGTAAATATTTGTCAATTCTAGCATTCCATGCGCGCGGTGCTTGCTTTAATCCATAGAGAGCTTTTCTCAACTTGTACACTTTATCTTCATGTCTCTTCTTCACATACCCCAAAGGTTGTTCAACATAAATCTCCTCTTCAAGAAATCCATTCAAGAATGCCGATTTCACATCAAGTTGATAAATCTTCCACTTGTTTTGTGCCGCCAAAGAAATCATCAACCTAATTGTTTCCAAACGAGCAACGGGAGCAAATACCTCGTCATAATCAATTCCGACCCTTTGCTTGTAGCCTTTAGCAACTAACCTTGCCTTATATCTTTGGACTTCACCATTTGCATCCTTTTTGGTTTTATACACCCACTTCACACCAATTGCTTTTTGACCTTGGGGAAGACTAACTAGTGTCCATGTATCATTCTTTTCAATTGCTTTCATTTCTTCATCCATTGTTATTCTCCATTTCTCTTCTTGAATCGCTTCTTCAAAACATAAAGGATCACAATCCATGAATAGACAAAACAAATTCAAGTTACCTTCAAAATTTTCCGTAGATTCATATATCTCTTGCAAACTTCTCATTTTCCTTGGTCTTTGACTTGAACTTGAATCTAATGATGATGATGATTCACCTGTAGAAGATGAGGGGGATCCATGTGGAGGTGTCTGTGGCTCTCTTTGGACTTCCCTTGGTTCTTCGGACTCTTCTTCTTCAAGCATAAGTTCCACTTCAGTGGCTGAAATTTTTCCTTTCCAATCCCACATGTCTTCCTCTTCAAAGATAACATCTCTAGTCATGATTACTTTCTTGGTAATGGGGTTGTATAACTTGTACCCCATTGTTCTATCACCATACCCAAGAAAAATGCACTTTTCACCTTTATCATCAAGTTTTGTCCTCCTTGCTTCGGGAATCTTCGCATAAGCAATGCATCCAAAAACTCTAAGATGGGCTACACTCGGCTTGAATGAACACCAAGCTTCCTCCGGAGTCTTAAAACGAACACTTTTGGTTGGACATCGATTCAACAAGTACACTGCACATGCTACAGCTTCGGCCCAAAATTCTCTAGGCAATCTCTTTCCTTTCAACATGCTTCTAGCCATATCAAGAATAGTTCTATTTTTTCTTTCCGCAACTCCATTCAGTTGAGGTGTATAGCTTGGCGTGAATTGATGCACAATTCCATGCTCCTTGCAATAGTCTTCAAATAAATCGGAACTATACTCACCACCTTGATCGGATCTCAACCTCTTGATAAAATAACCACTTTGCTTCTCAATAAGATTCTTGAACTCCTTAAAAACTTCAAACACTTCGGACTTCCTTCTTAAAAAATACACCCAAGTCTTCCGGCTATAGTCATCAATAAAAGTAAGAAAGTAGCAATTGTTACCATTTGACATAGGCTTCAAAGGACCACAAACATCGGTGTGCACAAGCTCCAATGGTCGTGATGCTCTCCACTTGACTTCTCTTGAGAAGCTTAATCTTTGATGCTTGCCAAGAATACACCCTTCACATAACTCATCCGGATGATCTATGTAGGGTAGACCTTTCACCATTTTCTTGCTAGATAAAAGCTTCAAGCCACCAAAATTAAGATGTCCAAGTCTCAAGTGCCACAACCAAGAATCATCTTTAATAATAGCATTCAAACATCTCATCGCATCATGTTGAATATTCAAAGGAAACATTCTATTCTTGGACATTTTCACATTAGCAATCAAATTACCACGAGCATCTTTAATTGTAAGGTGGAGATTCTTCATGCTAATATCATAGCCCTTTTCTAAAAGTTGCCCTAAACTCAAAATGCTATTCTTCATATCCGGCACATAATAGACATCCGAAATAAAATCACGATTGCCATCCTTGAGCTTAATAAGAATTTTACCTTTGCCTTTCACTGGAATGTTGGAGGAGTCGCCAAAAGTAACTTTGCCTTGCGCCACTTCATCAAGTTCTACGAACATATGCATCTGGCCACACATATGGTTGCTTGCCCCGGAATCAAGAAACCACACGTTGCCATTATCTTCCTCAGATCCATCATAGGCCAGCAACAAAGTAAATCCCGCTTTATTACTTGATTTCTCAGCATAATTCACATGTTCTTCAACATTTTTACTTGCCCAACATTCATTACTATAATGCCCAAACTTGTGACAATTGAAGCATTCAACATTTCTCTGGTCAAAACTTTGATTGTTGTAATTACCTCTTGCTCTTCCTCGTCCTCTTCCTCTCAAACTATAAAAATTTTGATTTCTTGTATCATTAGTAAATTGACCTCTTCCACCTCTTCCTCTATTAGCGTAGCTTCTTCCACGACCTTCGTAGTCTCTTCCTCGATTGTCATAACCTTTACCTCGTGTTCCATTACCTCTTTCTCTTTGAGATGTACCACCTTGAAATTCTCTGTTTTCATCTTTCAAATAAAACTTGGATTGAAGAGCTTGTTCAAGAGAATTTGGAGTCTTTTTATTAATACGCTGCTCATGTATTTCCAATGTCGCCATCAATTCATCAACACTTGTAGTCTTGAAATCCATGGACTGCTCAATGGCTACAACAACATGCTCAAATTTTGGAGTTAAGGTTCGTAGTATTTTTTTCAATAACACGAACGTCATCAATATCTTCTCCATACCTTCGCATTTGATTCACAATCACCAAAGTTCTTGAAAAATACTCCGAAATTGACTCGGCTCCATTCATATTCAAACTTTCAAATTCACCTCGCAATATTTGAAGACGAACCCGAATTGTTTTATCAATTCCTCTATGCAAACTCTTCAAAATTTCCCAAACTTGCTTCGAAGTGGTCGCGGAAGAAATCTTCTCAAAAGTATTATCGTCAATACATTGGTAAAGAAGAAATAAGGTCTTCTTATCCGTCTTCCTTGATTGCTTAAGCACTGCCTTTTGAGCATCATTAAGCGCTTGCTCTTTCTCCGTAGTCGGCTCGATGTAACCTTTTTCAACAATGTCCCAAAGATCTTGCGATTGTAACAACACCTTGATTTGAATACTCCAATTCTCATAGTTATCTTTTCCCAATTTGGGAAATTGGGGTTGAAGCACATTACTCATAGTAGCCATAACAACCTGCTCTGATACCACTTTTGTTGGGAATTAGAAGCAAAAAAAAAACTACTAAAGAGCACAAAAATAGAGGATGAAAAACTGCTTCACTTCCACACTAATTTCACTCAAGAAACATCTCTATATTTCATCAAATATGATCATAATATCAAGGAATACAGGGGGAGCAACTTAT